CCGCCGCCGCCCGTACCGCCACCCCTGCCGCCGCCAACTTGTCTCCTGATAGCCACCCCGACGCTCTATCCGACCGTACCGCCACCGCCCCCGCCCCCGTTGCCCACTTTCTGGCCCTACTGATGTGGCAGGCCCACCCGTCAAGCGGGCGAGACGAATGCGCGCGTCAGCGAGATCGGCCGAGGACGGACCCTCCGTGTGAACGAGGAGAGTGATCGAGAAAACGTCGCCCCGTGGCGAAAGAAAGACGTATGATTTACGACAGTGTGCGTTTTTCGATGGATTTCAAATATCGCAGGCGGACGGCTTGCTTCCGCCAGTCTATTGGAATCTGTCGCGTGTGCTTTTATAGACGCGCCGCCCTCGGGGTTCTTATCGGCCGCGAGCGGAGGATTTCGCCGGAACAAGAATGTAACTCGGCACTAATGGTATTGTGACGCGCTAGGGACCGGGTTGTCAACACGACGACAGTCGGACGAAAGTCCGACGAGAGTTAGGATAAGTGCAGTGACACGCCGGAGGATGGCGGCCGCGGCCGAGTATCATCGGTCCTGTTCTTCAAGACGTAAGGATTCTTCGCAGTCGGGGAGGAGGGGGAGGGGGGTCGCAATCCTCGCGACGTCTCCTCGGGGAAGGGCGAGACGGACGTCGTGTTCCGGGGACTCCTGTAAATAGCTCGGAGACTAGCGGCCTCCGGCCATACATATCAAGGGCTTGGAAGTAAATCGGTACGCTTCGCGAGGAATCACGCGCGCGATTTGCGGTCGAGAAATTGACGCGGATGACAAGGAACATTCTCGGAAGAGTGCGGCGAATCATCAGAAGGGACACCGAATCACCTCGTCAAAGGAGTTGAATTATTGGAGAGGATAACAATTTTCGCAGAATGGAAATTTCTTAGAGAAGGCGGTATTCTATTTCTCCCGAAAGATAGATCGATGAAGATGGAATGGCTCGAAAACAGTGAAGCTGCTTCGGGAAAGCGCCACGGAAAGTTTAACTTCCTCTTCCGAAGAAGAATCATTCGGAGAAGTTTGAACTGTCCAAAGAAGACATTTGAAAGTACGATCTATGCGGAGGAGAAATAGTCGGAGGAAGACGGAACACTATCAGGAAATAGATAATTCGGACGAGGCAAAATACGTTCGGTGATGGCGGAATGGTCTGCAGACGGTCGAACTTCTTCAGAAGAGGAATCGTTCGAGGTCGGTCGAATCTCTCGAACGAGAGGGGGCAGCTGGAAGATCGACGGCCGTCGGAGGAAATCCTGCCGGAAGAGCGCGATTCCGAGGTTCGAGGAGTTTCCAGCTAAGTGCGAAATGTGCGAAATCCCTCGTGGTTGCTCGCAAAGCAGACAGGTGGGCGCTGCTTCCGCGAAGCCCGGATGTATATATGGCGTCTCGGCGATCTCACGATCGCGCCAGGACGCTCTCTTTCGCTCGCTCGCGTTTACGGTCGATTCATTCATTGATAATTCGCGCGAACGTGCCCGTGCACCCGTCGCGCGATGTTACGACGTTAATTCCGAAGCCGAGCCACGCGCTCCTCGACGACCATACTTTGTGGGATCCAATAAATGAATCGGAGATTTTTTTCAGCGACCACTTATTAAACACGGGATTACAATTTAGGAGAGTGTTCAGAGGATGATCTGAATCAATCGTGCTCCGAGAACTGAACGACCTGCGAGAACGCAGCATCCGCTTTTTTCAGTGTCAAGCTCGCAGCAAGCATCGCGCGGCAACATTTTTTCCTCTCTCACCGTTCACTCTATATTAGTTTTTTAACGTTATTTTAACGCTCATCTGGATAATTTGCTCGTAATGAATACGACGATTTTGATCCGAATGATCACTTCATTAAATTTTGGAAGAATTGGCGTTAAAATATTTTAGTTGAATTGAAAGATTTGCTGAAACAACATGATAATCCACGTAGAGCATCTTTCACGGGCATGCAACTTCTGCTCTATGCGGCTTTTGAACATATTCTTTAATATATTATCGCTAATAAACGCGAAGATTTTTGATTGGGGCCATCGAATCTATAAATAAATATAAGCTAAGACTCTTATACTGCTTTTGCCCAAGTGGTCTATCATGTTGTTGCCTCGCATGTGTTAAACCTACTTGCAAATTTTGGTTTAAAGAAAGAAGAATAATATTAATTAATCTTCTTGCATAAGAATAAAATTAAAAATTAATTGTTTCAGCAGTTAAAATTGTACTTTTCATGCTCCGATGCCAAGAAAATTAAAGCATCGCTGTTTTTAAAATAATGCTTCAAAATGAAAAATATTAGCAAATAAAAGGAAGCAAGAATACTTTTTATAAAAAAAATTATTTGCGCTGGTGAAACCATTCTGATTATGGTTGCCGGGTCAAGGATTAATTCCATCATGGAATGTCGGATGGTCGGATGTGATTGTTTGTCACATCGCAAGTTTTTACGCTGAATAACAATACGAAAAATATGCCGATCGCTCCTCGGTTGCGCGTCGCGCGAAGCTTCTCGCGGGTCTTAAACGTAATAAAGTCGTCTAGACTGCTATCAATTAAGAGGATTAAATCGTTTCCACTGTCCCCACTTACACCTCCGCTTCTCCAATTGAATAAAAACGAAGAAAGGAATACCCTTCCCCCGCCCTCCTTAAGCTGTAGTGTTCAGGTTGCGACGAGACGACACGTATTCGGTGCCCGCACGCTCGCGAGCACCGCAAAACGCATGCTCGACAAGCGTTGCGTGGTACTCGCACACTTTTGATCAGATCGCGGACTGCGAATTGAGAATTTTATATATATTGAAACAAAAAAAAAATAATAAACAGAAAACACATAATAAAGAAGAACAGTGAAGTCGACGACACACAATATATTAGTGCCCCTCGGTAATATTTTGTCGGGCCGAGGGGCGTTTTTATAAGAATGGTTTTAGATCTCCGAACAAATTTTGCGATGCGAACCAAACGACTACTACTAAACTCTAAATAAATAATAGACTCTTTGACTCGGCCATACGTAACGTAAGATAATAAGGGCCGAAACCGCGCGCCCTTGAGATGCGTGAATATATCCGCCGTTTTTGTCCATTGCCCGTGAGAGAGTAAGAGCGAGAAAGAGAGGGAGAGAAAGAGTGGGAGAGATAGTGAGAGAGAGAGAGAGAGAAAGAGAGAGATGAAAGACCTAAATGAGATATAATTTAAATAAGGAAACAAAGTTTATATATATTCGAGGCAATATTTGTTACAATACAATTAGAGGATAAGTTGTGTACCGTTTTAAATTCCGGTCGGCGGACTCGCGAGGGCTTGCCGTCGCGATGATCGCCGACGGCGAAACGGTCTCGCAGATGCTGTTGTCGATCGTAAGGGACGACGTATCGACATGGGGAGGAAAACGGATAAGATAAAGAGGTACTAAGCTGAGCGGCGCGCGCCCATTCGACACGCGTCGCGCTCGTCTTTTTCGTTATTATATTTTCTCGGACTCACGATTGCGTTTGTGTTCCAAACGATATATAGATTATTTTAACTCGCTCCCAATTCTCCTCTCCGACGGGGGGAGGAGAAAGTGTGAAAATTGTTTTTACATCACATTCTTATAGATTTTATTATTCTTAATATTATTGAGATATCATTAGTATTATTATTATATAATTATATGAAATTTAGATTAGACGTGTAGAAGTACATCACGTTTTATCTCGAGGAATCTTTCAAATTTTTGATTTAGCGAACAGGACCTAAGGCAAGTAGACGCTAAGCAGTTTAGGATGTATAATCATATCATACGGTTTTTGTAGATAAATATATATAAAAATATATATATATTATTTGAATAATATATATATATATATATTTATGTGATGCGGAGTGCGGCATTTAAATCAAGAGTGTATCGTCGTGTGACAAATCGCGCACTCGATATCCATTTAAGAATGAAAATCCCCGACCATGTAATTCCCTGAGGACGAACTTGCGGGGAAAAACTTTATTCGATTACAATCCTGATTTTAATCCAGTTGACGTGAACGT